CATCCTAGTCCAGCCAGTGGTGCGACAGCCCCACCTCAGGGAGGGCCCAGCATCTCCAGAGTTGCTGCGAAGCAACAGCGGGAAGTCCCTGACTCCAAGACACTGCGCAGCAGCATCTGGGCCCGATGGGCTGAGGGGTCTGATCATGAAGGCCAGCTCCTCCCGAGCCTCACCAGGCTTCCCCACCACGTAGGTTAGGGAGCCGCCAGCAGAGGCACCAGGACTTCTGGCTCCCAATGGGAAGAGCAGCCGGGATGGCAGCTTGACACAGGAACTCGAGGGGGCGGAGACATTCGGGGGCCCTGGCATCGTCAGTAACACCGCCAATTCCGAAGTTCTGAGCAGATAAAGCTCGCTGACTGAACTTCTCACTGCACCCCTGGAGTCTCATTCTAGATCCCCACAGGCGATCAACCTTTTGCTCCTCGGAACCCACCTGCAGACAGAGGTAGAGGGCAAGTGCTCAATCGAGCATTTGGACACAGAAAACCACAAAGCTACTAGACACTGCTTCTTGTTCAACTGTAATAAACTCACATTAATGCAATGCAGTGAAAGCAAGTAAAATCAAATGTGAGGCTTGACATTAACTGTTGCAGTTATTTATTATATTTTAAAATCTGAAAACTGTAAAACAATATTAATACAAAACCTGAGGACCGTTCAGCTGGGCACAGCATCTTCATACAAACAATTTGAAGGAAGGCCACGTTAAATTAGGATTTTGTCTTATAACACAGAGTAACATAGATGAAATGACTCTGAATCATATGCCCAGGAAATTGGCTGCATTGGCTTATAAAGTACACTTGTTTTTCTGAAGGCAGAATATACATTCTGGCCTGATGAACATTTTATTGGCATGTATAACCAACGGCTAATACAACTAGCACCAATTCCCACAACTTATAAACTTTTTACCAATGCTACACAATATAGTAATAATATGATAAATAATTAACAGTGAACATGGTTTCACCTGAAAGTTCTTTTGAAAATAAAGTTCAAAATAAGAAATCAGAACTAACGCACCTTCCAACATCAGCAGGACAAATGGCTCAGAAAGCAAAATAAGTATAAACATTGCACAGGACAGAGACATCCCTGGAGGAGCCCTGGAGGTGAGCTGCGAGGTAAGAGCCAAGGGAGACAATGTGCACTTCTACAGAGTAACGACTTCCCACCATGGCCACGCCCACACCTGTACCCAGCGGGCACAGGCCCGTGCCTGTGTCGAAGGAGAGTTCATCTTCACCTCTGTAGAAGTGCAGAGTGCCAGTTTAAATTCAAAAATAAAGGATTCACTTTTGTGTAAACTTCAGCTGTAGAATAAAATATAAATATGAAACGGTAATAAAACATCTTTGTTTTTTTGAGGACTAAAAACAGACAATAAAACACCTTTTAAGAATTTGGACACAGGCATCTTCGTAGAGATGTGAGCAATGAATGCCTGGTTAAATGTCCAAGCTTAGGCAAAATACAAAAGCTTAAAAATAATAGGAATTTAATTGAAAGTAGAATCATACTCCATCCCAACACCCTTCAGAATCTCTTGCATAAAATGACCACTCACATAGCTTGTCGCTTACAGTACTGCTAAGAACACTTCCTGGCAAACTCAGGCTGCCTTGCTTTCTTTAAATGTCAACAAATACAACCACCAGAGAAATAATAAGGAAAATTACTTATATGACTATTCCTTTTTGGGATGCTGGTAGAACACGTAGAAAACACTGCAGTAACAGAGTATTTTAGCAAGAGATGGTATCTACACTTGACTCTTTAAAGGTTCTTCTAAGGAAAACGCATGGATTTCATTAGAGAACTTGTCGATCCCTGACATTTGCTCTTTGGGATTTAGCTCATTTGGTTCTTTACATAAACTTCATGGTACACTGTCTGTTTCCCACATGGAAAGTATTTGTAAACTATACAATATCATCAATAAAGAGAGACAAAGAATAAACTACCGATTTGAATATGCTAATAACTAAATGTTAACTGAAATATAAACAGATTCTGCCATTCTGGTTACTGTATATTATAAAGGAACAAAATACTCCACAACAATTTCTACAGGCAGAAAAATAACTGTCGAAAGAGCCCTGGTCTTTCCAGAGTTGAGACCAATCTAAATCTATAGACATTTCTTAGTTGTCAAAGTATTTTTCATTTTTAAGCTTTTCAATGTAGTGGTCCAACTTCACGGCCGGCCCCAGCTTCAGCCCCATGTACTTCATCATCATGTCACTCTTGAGTAGTAGCAGGGCCTTCCCGTCAATGTCCTGGCGGAAAAGCAAGTGACAGTCAGGAATGATGCTTTTCGTGTTAATCCCAAGAGTAACTTCTTTATAAGAACATATGTAATACCAAGCAGACAGCAGCTCATTCCAGATGCATATTTTCTGACTTGCATCTGCCTTATTAAAATGATTAAAAATGGAATTTGTACAGTGAGGCAACCTTGGATCATTTACAAATGTATTACAAATGTATTGCAAATTTTAGGAAAATGTTTGGATGAATTTTAACCTACTATCTTAAAATTTCCTAAGCATCAAACTATCTACTTCTAAGCACTGTGTGCTGAGTCAAATCCTCCACGGCTGTGACAAGGTGTGCAAGCTAGGAATGGCGGGAAATGATGTCAGGCGGTCGCGAGCTGCTCGGAGGGCTGGGACGGGAGCCGCTGGCACCAGCGCTGCGCCGCCACCTTGCCTGGCGAAGCCACGTCCGCCTGCACTGGCGAGGGCATGGAGGGGGCGCAGGGCTGTGGTCGCCACAGGCAGGAAAGACCACAGGAGTGTCACTGGAGCGTGACAAGGCAGCCTCCTAAAATTCTTTCTTCCGTTAAGTGGCCAAGCTACACTGCTGAAGCAAACTATGACTTATGACTTCGGGTTTAAAACTAAAACTACGTTAATCGTAGATTACTATTCTCAAAAGACCGGTTATAGTACTGACTTGGTCCAGTACTTTCTATCCATTTTCTACTAAGTAAAACTAGGCACTCCAGAGATGTGACTTTGTGTGGAAAAATGAGTAGACAGGCCCCCCACAGCAACCCAACAGAAGGGCTGCGCTGAGGCGCGCAAAGGCACTGTGCAGGAAGGCCCCCCGAGAGAGACATTACATGTTCCCTGAAGAGGTCGACGACGGGGGCAAGTGTCTGGTGGTCAGTATGCTTCAGAAACTTTATCACTTCATCCACTGTCCAGGTTGAAGGGTCCTCAGGGAAGGGCTGTAGGTCATTTTCTTCTGGTGATTCTAGTGTTGTGGGGGAGGGGGGAGGGAGAGAATAAAGACAAATCAAACTCGACCTGATCATTACCCTGAAGGAAGGGATGTGAGGTAGGGAATGATGGTCTTGCTCCTGGAACCTTCTGCTAAGTACCCCAGCCAGGCCCAGGACTCCAAGTGTAAAATCCAGTGAAAACCTAAATAAAATGATGTGAGGTAGGCTACCCAAGAGAGCCCCATCTGACCTCCCCCAAACACCAAAAGTAGCTTTTGAAGTTACCTTAAAGTTTCAAAGATCACAGAACACATTGAGCAATCTGAGGCTGTTTGGCCCAGTCAGATACAGGAAAGATCTAATCTCAAGGCTTATCTGAATTCTGAAGGAAACCGGATTTTTTGTTTATTTGTTTAGTTGGTCAAAAATGACTTCAACATTATATTGAATACCTCTTTCAAGGTTAATTGCATCGTAAAACATATTTTGGTTTAGATGTTTAAAAAAGAAATAACTAGGACATGAAATAAAGTAAGTGTTCCTACTTCAAAGAGTCGAACTGCACTGTTCACTAAATTATGCTGAAATATCTCCGGTTCCAAACAAGTATTCATTTACTTACACAACAGAGCGGAGACGCCATGAAGTTAGTGTGGTGACAGAAGTGGGTTTTGCAACTTGCTAGGATGTCAACATAAAGTTGATCTTTTGGGGGGTTAATTAAGACAAAAGGGTCCTGTTTCTTTCCTATCATCTGGGCTCTGGCTATCTTAGGAGCATTCTCAGTATTTAACCAGGGGAGAAACAGAAGATTACAAAACTCGCAAGGGGATCATGGCAGTCGTGGAGCAGAGGCACATCTGCTGCCCAGCACAGTGCCCGGCACGTAGTACTAGCCATCGGGATCAGCACCCAACAGCAGCCTCAACACAGGAGAGCAACAGCTTGCAGCAGGGTGTGAGGAAGCGGACTGCAGCACATGTCACACTCACCAAAGGTGGCCGGGATGCAGAGAGACGGAGCTGCACACGGCCCCTCCGGAGCTGGGTAAGCCATCGTCCCGGGGCTGCGCACCAGGCCTGGTTCCTCCTGATTGCAAGCACTCACAGACATATCTGCAGCTCGAGATGGCGAGTAGAGACTGATGATGCTGCGAGCCCCAGGACTGTCAAAGCAGGGCCCCGGGGCTGGGTCAGGTGTGAAACAGGGCCGGTATGAATGTGAGGCCATGAGAGGAATTGTTGGACTCTGGCTAAGGACCAGGTCATGGACCTCGTGAGGTGAATCTAGGTCATGTTCGAAGGACTCATCTGACTGGAAAGGGGTTCCCACAGTGTTGCTCTGGGAATCATTAATTATTTGGCTGTCTACTGGCATAGTTGGGCTGTAACTTTCAGGGTAGGAGAACACAGCCGGAGGCCCCTTCTTCTTCATTTTCAGGAATTTAATCTTTTTAGAAAGCATGTAGCTATAATTTCTGTACGCATATCCAAGTAGTTTCTGAAATGACACAAACCAACAGAGTAAAAAATGGAATAAGGGAAACCCCAAGGTGGCAGAAACACTGTGTGGGGTCCCCGGTAAGATGGCCCCAGCCCAGTGCAGGTGGGAGGGGCCGTGTCCAGTGAAGAAGTCCTGGTGGGGCCTCCAAAGCAAGAACCCATGGAGATGGACCCGCAGCAAAAAGCACCATGAGCTTACCATGGTCTGAGAAAAAGTCTCCAGAAGCCAACATGAAGGCATGAAACATCTACATGTCCTGCCACATGCAGGGTTCAAAACTGCCATCACGAGACAACTCAAAGAAGTGGAAGAAAATTTAAAGAAACGAATGAATGACCTAAGAAACAAAATTAACAAAAGATCAAAACAGAAGCACCAAAGAAAAATGTAATGGAAATACAATGTAAAAGGGTCAACAGAGAAGATGAATACCGGAGAAAGCCACGGAAGTAAAACAGACAGCTCAGGAGAACAAACCAGTGAACTTAAAGATCAGAAAGCACAAAGAAACCAGGTGGAAAAGGAGAGAGAAGAAGGGCGGAGGAAGAACACTTGGAAAACTATTCACCTACACAAGGAAAAGTAATCGGAGAATAAAGGGTACTGCAGAGGAGGGCAAGAGAAAGCGAACAGAGGGCTTGTGCAAAGAAACAGCAGAGAACTTCCCAAGCCTGGAGAAGGAAACAGACACAATGTATGAAAAAAAAGAGAATACCAGGTACGCAAGCATCATGAGGCCTCTGTGGTGGTGCAGGGGTTAAGTCTCAGCACTACAGTCCACAGCCACTGCAGCAAGAGTTCCACCCCCGCCAGGGAGTGACCCACAGGGTGCAGCAGACTTCCCCTGTCTCGCCTGCTGTGCCCCTCAGCAGTGGACTTCAGTCACACATCCACCTGGTCTCCTCCCCACTCTGTCTCTGGTGAGTCCTCACACCGCCCTACCTTTGGCCTGTACCCCAAGTTCTTGTGTGCACACCTAAATGGATCTCAAAATTCACAGTCATGCCATCCTAAGGGCTCAAGACAAAGAAAGGCTTTTCTCAGACAAACAGATGCTGAAGGAGTTTGCAAAAAGCAGACCCACTCCAAGAAATGTTGAAAGGAGTTTCATCTCTAAACCAAAGAAGGGAGAAGACACAAAGAACTGAACAAGGACATAAACAGCACCATAAAAATAAGGATAAAATGGCAGCAACAGACTTTCATGTGTTGATCATTACTCTAAATGTAAATTGGACTCACCAATTAAAAGACAGAGTGTGAGTGTCTGCCTGGGTTAGGAAGAAGTATCCAACTTTCTGCTGTCACCAGGAAATGCACCTGAGCTCCAAAGATAAAGATAGCTGAGGGCAAAGGGGTGGAAAATAACCCTACAAGTGAAGGGGACCCAAAGGAAGGCAGGGACAGTCACAGTTATATCAGATAAAACAGACTTTCAGCCAAAAAAGGCAACAGAGATGGACACTCTCATGATTAAAAAAAAAATTATACCAGGAAGGCACAACACTCATCAGCAGATATTCACGGAAATGAGAGAATATCAAAAAATAAGAGACAGTTACTATAAAGTCTAGAAACAGACACTGGAAAAGGTGCATTAGCGGCAAGAGACTTCAACACTCTCCTTTCAGCAGTGGCCGGACTGGCCAGACAGAAAACAAGGAGGGGCCCGGCAGCCTCAAAAAGAGACTTAGACAACAGGGCACTGCACCCCCAGACGCTGAATACACGTTTGTGAATTCTGCTCCAGCAGTAAAAAGGGCAATACAGTTGGGACTATACCACACTAAAATGTTTCTGTACTGTAAAACAAACCATCCCTAAAACAAAGAAAAAAAGGCCCTACTGAATGGGAGAAAATATTTACATACCATGCTTCTGACAAGGGGCTCACATCTATAAAGAATCCATATTAAAAAAACCACCACCATAGAATGGGCAGAGCAGTTAAACAGGCTTTTAGCTTTGGAGAGTTAAAAATTTCTCCAAAGACACACAGATGGCCAACAGTTATCACGGTCAATTATCAGGAGGAAATGCAGAACGAACCCCACTGAGAGACCACCGTGTCCCTCCGAGAACGACCCCGACCCAAAAGCCCAGGAACAAGGGCTGTGAGGATGCGGCGAACAGCAACGTGCGCGGTCGTGCGGGCGCAGACTGGCCCAGGCCTACGTGAAACAGTGCGGAGGTTTCTCAAAACATTAAAAACGAGCTGCCACAGGACCCAGCATTCCACTCTCGGGTATCTGCACGGAGAATGAAAAAGAAACCCTGGCGGAAGCACGCACTCCCATGTTCCCGCACACTACATACAGTAGGGTGACTACATACTACATACTACATACAGTAGGGTGACTATGGCAGTGTTCACCCCCAAATACAGACGGGGGTGCAACAGTGCAACAGTGAGTGTGCAACATAGACACATGGTGGGGCCACTCAGCTACCGAGAAGGAGCGCCTCTTGCCAGCTGCGGCAATGCAGGTGAAGCTGGAGAGGATGACGCGAAGTAAAGCAGGTTACGAGGAAAAAGACAAATACTGGATGATGTCACTTCATGTGAAAAATACAGAGACCAGAGGAAGGGTCTGATCAAGTCAAACCAAGAACCAGCTCTCCAAGGATGGCCACAGAACTGAGGCCACTGGAAGTGGGAGGGGGGAGAGGGATGAGAGCTAAGCCCGGAAGCAGCACAATGGCCTCGGAGGAGCAGGGGAGGAGCAGGGGGGAGG